AGCATCAAGTTCTATCATATATCAATTTTAGCACAAGAAATTAGGAACACTAATTAAAAGATCTCAACTTTCTTTCACTTTCTCCAAACAAAATAGCTTATTTTAGTAATAATTGGTGTTTTCTACTACATTTCGCACAACGCTCTTGTACAATTAATAAATTATGCAGCTTGTTCAACTTACTTAGTATTTAAAAAATATATTTATATAAATATTTATTCTCATTCAATAATAATTCCATATATGCATGCCAGGTTTCAGAACTTCTTGATGATCTTTTTGCTTAATTTCTTTTTGCCCATTTAGGTACGTTGTTGTAGGGTTGTGCATAATTTGGTAAATACCGAATAATCGTATCGAGATCAAAAATTTTGGTATTTGGTATTTGATACTTTGGTATTCGGTATTTGGTTTAATTTAAAAAAAAAACTGATATTAGGTATGGTATTTGGTATTTTAAAATGAAATATCGAAATACCGATATTGTACCAAAATATATATTATATTACACTACAAATTATTAATTATAACATAAATAAATAAAATCTAAAATTTTACTTTTCTTTATTCTCTAAGTTCATCAATTAACTCTAAGTAAGTAATAAGATATTTCTAATGATCAAATTTATTCCTTTACGTACAGTTTTCTCTCTCTAGGTTGATATTTGCTGGTTTTGGACAAATTTTTTGTCAACAAATGTTTTTAATTTTGTACTTTTGAGTACTTTAATTAAGAATATTACAGTCTATGACTCTATGCACTAGTTAGTATTCAAACCGAATAAACCGAAGTTATCGAACCGAATAAACCGAAACCGAAAGGAGAAAAACCGAACCATATCGAATTCAATTAGGTACTGTATTGGTATAGCATTTTAAGAAACTGAATACCGAAAATACCGAACCGAAATGTCTAAATACCGTATCGTACCGACCGACGAACACCCCTGTGTTTGTGTTTTTATGATTAGCACTACTATTTGCACTATATCCAAATTCTAAGATATAGTATTTCTTTTATTAACTTGTCCATCCCATTTATGTTACCCCCTAAACATTTGCCCTATGAAAAGCTTATCTTAAAATTTGCTACAATATAGTGAAATGGGAAAAGGGCGATTTACCCCTAAATTATAGGGAAGTAGGGAACCGACAACAACATTATCCCATTTCGAGTGGTTCAAAGGTAAATTACTCATTTTCAATCTGAGCTAGAACTGTTAGCCAGGGGACGATGGCACAATAATAACTAAAGAATGTCTATTGCAGTGACTGATTTACCAAAACACAAAGTGGTAAAATATTATTAATTAAGGTGGAGAAATATTATTTAAATTAAGCATAGTTTTAATATGGAGTATATTTCATTCAAAATCGAAGTTCTACATTATTCCTTTAAAAATGTTATTTAGTTTTGTAACGATCCGATAGATCATTTTGAGTACTAGCTTCCATTTTGTGTTTCGAGACTTTTCATAGCTCAATTTGATGATTTACTACTAGTGTGTTTGTGTCGATTTCCGAAAAGTTTATATGTGAATTTTTTTTTTAAAAAAATGTGATTTTTACTTTAAATGTGGCTAGAGTTGACCACAGTTAACGTTTTTGGTAAACGACCTCGGATCGGTATTTTGACGATTCCGGTAGATTCTTATGATGATATTGGACTTGTGCGCATATTTGGTTGGGGTCCCGGGACCCGAGACCATTTCAGCGCATTATGTGAAAAGTTGGAAAAATGAGTTTTGAACTTGAATTTGAGTTTTAACGGTCGATTCTTGATTTTTAATGTTATTTTGATTATTTAAGCTTGCGAGCAAGTTTGTATAATGTCATTACACTTTTGTGAATGTTAGGATTGGAGCTCTAGGGGTTCGGATGTGTTGCGTTTAGGATTATATTGGAGCCCGAGGGGCTCGGATGAGTTTCAGATGTGTTGCAGATGGCTTGGAACAACTGCTAGAAAATTTGGTGTGTGAATCTGCAGATCTTGCATTTGCGAGGACTGGAACTAGGGACTAAGACTTTGTTTTTGCGAAGAAATGATCGCTTTGCGAGATGGTGGGTACCGCAATTGCGATTGCAGTCTTGCATTTTTGCGACAGGGGAGCTGGGCTGGTCAGCTTTGCAAATGCGAAGCTTTGACCGCATTTGCGATGGATAGGGACTTTGAAAAATGCGAGGTTTTTGTAATAATTGCAATTTTTGTAGAGCTCAGGCACTGATCGCATTTGCGGACATCGCGATTGCGAACAAGAGTTTGTAATCGCGATACCTGCAGCTGGGTAAAATACAGAGATTTCGGGACTTAGCTCATTTTACACCATTTTTGAACCCTAGACTCCATAGAAGCGATTTTTAGAGAGCAACTTCTTTCCAACTTCATAGGTTAGTAACTGTAACTTGTTTTCAATCAATTTTCATTACTTTTTCATGAATTTCATCATCAAATCTAGGATTCTTAGAGTAGAAATAGGGGTTTGGGTAGAATTTAGAGATTTTATAAAACTGAGATTTATATCGCAAATTGAGGTTGGATTTCAAAACAAATCACATATCCGGGCTCGGAGATGAATGGGTAATCAAGGTTTAGTCTTAATTTTGGATTTCGACCATGTGGGCTCGGGTTGACTTTTTATTGACTTTTTCAATTATGTTAAAGATTAGTATTTCTTTTTCATTTATGTGTAGCTTTTAAAGCTTTTTTTGACTAGTATGAACAATATTTGATTAGATTCGATTGGTTTAGAGGCTTGTTCTAAAGGAAAAGCCGTGTTGGATTGTTGATTGTATTCCAGAAAGAAGTAAGTGTCTTGGTTAACCTTGATTTGAGGGAAATAGGATAGAATCGACTCTATTTGCTATGTGACCTATGTGTTGGGCAGGCCATGCAAGGTGACAGGTGAATATGCGTTGGGCATGGGATAAGCATGCAGGTAGAACTAGTCTTACCTGTGCCATGCTACTTTCTATTTTATGTTTTTCTTAACTTAGATAGATTGTTTAATTCTTTAATTTCTCGTATTCATGTTATTTTCTATGTTGAGATTTAATGAGACAGTGGTATTGAGATCGTTGAATTGTTGATTGGTTGCTAGTGCTAATTGTTGGAAGATTCTCATATGAAGAGTTGTGTTCACATACTCATTGTTGATGTTCAATTTGCTTCCCACCTTGCTTGGTATTGTGTTGTGTGTGATGCTTGGTGAGGAAGAGTAAAATGCACGAAGGTCATTGTCGTACTTGTGAGGAAGAGTGATTGTGCACGAAGGATATTTTCGTGCCTTATTTATTTGTTTATTTATTTATATTATTGTACAAAGGGTGTTTCTGTGTAGTGAACATGAGGATATGCACGAAGGGTGTTTCCGTGCTTGTTTTTGTATTATGCTAGGAGGATGAGAGTAAAAGCACGAAGGGCAATGCCGTACAGTTTTGTTGATTTAATTGCTCTTTACTTTAATATTTGGAATGTGGACTCGGTGATACTTTACGTTATGTTTTCGTTTTATGCCCCTTTACTCGTGTACTTGTTATCCCCTTTCCCTTGTAATTATCCCGTTGTTATATTTGATACTCTATATGTTATTTCAGTATAGTAGGTGTCATGTCTTAGCCTCGTCACTACCTCGTCGGGGTTAGGTCAACACTTATTGAGTACATTGGATCAGTTTGTACTCATACTATAATTTGCACTTCTTGTGCAGATATTGGTACCAGCAGAGTCTCCACAGGTGCTTATCGGATATCGGGCAGGTTATTCGAGGTAGAGCTGTATTCTGTTCGAGGCCTCAGCATCATCTTCTTATTTCTATTGTATTGTTTCTATCTTTTGGACAATGATGCGCTTCTTTCAAAACAATGTATTTAGTAACTTTAGAACCTCATGTACTTATGACTCCACGTCTTGGAATGGTTACGTTATATATTGGTCTTAGACTTATTATGTTTATCTATGAATTGCTTTTACGCTATGTTATTATCCTGTTTTAGTCATTTATCATAGTTCTTTCGTACTTTACTGTTATGTGTTGGCTTGCCTAGAAAGTAATGTTAGGCATTATCACGACTCTGATCGGTTGAGATTGACAAATTCTCAGGTGAATGAGATGAAATCGAGCTCAGATAAGCTCCAATGGCATATGAACAGAGACCTAGCTAAGAAAGAGGAAAATGAGAGAAGAAGCTTCGAGAGATCTGTGAAACATAATTGGGAAAAAATGAATTGACTATTCCACTGTACAAAATATCCAAACACCTTACTTATACACGTGACTCGCACACTTGTCAGCTGGCACAGTTGTTCACTAACTAATAATCATATTAACAAACTAACAAAGCTAATCTATCTAATTAAGCTAACTGGTAAAGAAAGGGATAAATACACGTGTGCACAAAGTGTAAGTGTATAACCAGTCTCAATACCCACCCTCAAGTTGGAAGGGAGGAATTCATTGCCAACTTGTTAAGTAGGTCTGAGTGTTTGAATCTAGTCAGAGATTTTGTGAAGATGTCTGCGAGATGCTCGTTGGTAGATACATGATGCAAAGAAATTAGTCCCTCCAAAGCTTGTTTCTAACAAAGTGACAATCAACTTCTATATGTTTTGTGCATACATGGAATACTGGATTTCTGGCTATTTGCAAGGCAGCTTGGCTATCGCAAAATACTAGAATAGGCAGACTCGGGGGAACAGTCAATTCTTCAAGGAGTCTAGCTAACCAGACTAGCTCACCCACAACCTGTCTAGCTGCTCTATACTCCACTTTAACTGAAGATAAGGAAATAGTGGATTGTTTCTTTGATTTCAACTAATGGGACTGTTTCCAAGCAGTATAATGTATCCACTGACTAACTTTCTAGACTCAGGACATGCTGCCCAATCTGAGTCAAAAAAGGCTCTAATTACATAGTCCTTGCTATTGGAAAGGAATATGCCCAGACTTGGATCACCTTTCAAATATCTTAAAACATGGTATGCAACTTTCAAATAAGCTTCTCTAGGTGACTGCATGTACTAGCTTAAGATGCTGTACACTGTAGGATATATCAAGCCTTGTATTTTTCAAGAAGTTTAACTTCCCTATCATCTTCCTATAGTTATAAGGGTCAGGCAATAGTGGACTCTCCTCTGCCTTCAGCTTTGTAGAGGGATCGAGGGGTGATGACAAGCTGGTATACTCAATACCCTCAAACTCTTTCAGCAGGTCCATAGTGAACTTTCTTTGGGTTATTAGCACTCCATCTTCCTTGTGAAGCACTTTCCTTGTATTTTTCAAGAAGTTTAACTTCCCTATCATCTTCCTATAGTTATAAGGGTCAGGCAATAGTGGACTCTCCTCTGCCTTCAGCTTTGTAGAGGGATCGAGGGGTGATGACAAGCTGGTATACTCAGTACCCTCAAACTCTTTCAGCAGGTCCATAGTGAACTTTCTTTGGGTTATTAGCACTCCATCTTCCTTGTGAAGCACTTTCATTCCTAAAAGTAGTGTAACCTTCCCAAATCTTTTATTTATAAAAGTTTCATGCAGGAAATTCTTCAAGGAGTCAATCTCTTCTAGATGATTCCCTGTTACAATGACATCATCTACATACACAACGACAAACACTACAAAGGATCTTTTCCTTTTGTGAAACAATGAGTAATCCACCAGTGAGTGTATGTATCCTTTAGAACATAAAGCTGCAGTCAATTTCTCATACCATGCCTACTTGCTTGCTTGAGTCTATATAGAGACTTATTCAACTTGCATACTAAGCCTGGCTTGTCTACCACCAGGCCCTGAGGCACCTTCATATAAATTTCCTCATGTAGGTCCCCATGAAGGAAGGCATTGGTTACATCTAACTAAAATATATGCCATCCCTTCTTCACTGCAGTTCCAATCAGTTCCCTCACAGTTGTCATCTTCACAACAGGTGAAAATGTCTTGTATAGTCTATCCCTGGTTGCTGATTGTATCCCTTCACCACTAGTCTAGCTTTAAACCTCTCAACACTACCATCGATCATATATTTTATTTTATATACCCACTTGCACCCTGTTGCACTCTTACCAGCTGGGAGTGGTACCATGCTCCATGTATTGTTAGCATTCAGTGCCTCAAATTGTTGATTCATGATTGACTGTCATACAGGACTTATAGCTGCCTTCTCATATGAACCAGGTTCACATTCATGTGAAATATTTCTTACCAATTGATAACTATCAGAACTTAACACATTAAGAGAGATATATTGTGCATTAGGTATATAAGCTGCAAAGGAGAGAGAAAAATTATCTGACTATCATTGGAGAAATTAGTCTATAGTGAAGGTTGATGTTGCAGAGCATGCAACTTTGGGAGAGAGTAGTTATAGTCTTTTAAGTATGTAGGAACTTTGTGTGTTCTAGAAGGTCTGATTTGTGTGAGGCCTAATTGGTGCTCTTAATGACCTGCACTGTTTGGGCTATCAATGTGAGGTGAAGGTTTTTGGTAATTATTATTAGGTGGCAAGTGCTCACTGTAGTTGGATTCTATGATCTGTGTTCTTTTGGAGCTGGACTGTGGTGATAAATGCCTATGTAAAGATTTAGGTGACACTGTATTGTGATGTTGGTCTGGTGAGTTTGAAACTGCTTCTCTAGAAGGAAAGAAATCAGATGCCAAGTGTGTATTGACTTGAGGAAATGAAGGGAAAACCTTATTTGATTTGAAAAGAAAAGTAAAAGGAAACACATCCTCGTGGAACACTATATCTCTTGAAACGTGGATCCTTTTTGTGACTAGATTTAACATTTTGTAACCCTTTGTCCCAAATAGATACCCCACAAACACACAAGGCAAAGTTCTAGCCTCAAACTTGTCCTTATGGGTATTAAGTGTGGTAAACACAGCCAACCAAAACTTTTAAGATGTGAGTAGCAGGGCTTTTTCTTATAGATTAGCTCAAGAGGACATTTTCCTTTGAGGGAAGAAGAATGTAATCTGTTTATTATATAAATGGAGGTAAGAATGCACTCTTCCCAATACTGTAAGGGTAGTTTTGATTGATACAACAATGCCTTGCTGTTTATATTTTCTCCACCACCCCATTTTGTTGGGGCGTATATGGACAGGTTATTTGGTGTAAAACTCCCCAGATTGAAAGAAAGAGGTAGCCTCTAAACTGGTGAACTCAGTCCCATTATCTGTTCTTATAGTTTTGACAAATGTGCTAAATTGATTTTTCACCATAGCAAAGAAGGCTTTTATGGTTTGTTAGACATTGCTCATACAGCTCAATAAATGTGTCCATGTACATCTGGTGTAATCATCTACAAAGGTGATAATATACTTGTGTCTGTAATGAGTTCCAATGTGATATGGTCCCCACAAATCAACATGTAATATTTCAAAAACTTTGGTTGTAAGGGTGGTTCTTTCTGGAAAGGGTAGTCTGCTTTGTCTGGCCATTGGGCATGTGGGGCAAAGGAAAGGTTGTGTAGGTGTGAATTTAGATGGTATCTCATGGATTCCCTTTATTTTGGCAAAGGGCACATGTCCTAATCTATTGTGCCTCAAAAGTTCAACCATGTTTCTATTAGATGTAGAGGTGAAAGTAGAAACAGAAGTAGATGCATTCGAGACAAAAATATATTTTTCACTACTTAAGGATGAAGTATTAACAGTGGAGTTTATATGAGGATCAACACCACTCTTATTACAAGCATGAGACGAAACAGGTAAACTAGATGCAACAGGGGGAACAAGATGCAAGTGAGGGTTCACTTATTCTTATCAGACATACTAGATAGAATTTGAGTAGAAGTTTGAGTGGGGGTTGTGACAGTCTTACAGAGATCTGAAATGTAATAGTATAGGCCATCAGTAGCCTTAACAATTTCCAGAGGCCTCTTCAGTAAAGGGGGGGGGGGGCTGCAGAAGAATACATGAAAACTTGGTAAAGATGACATAGCAATCAAATTGAACTGTCAAGCATATTAGGTTGAATTTGAAACTGGGCACAAAAAGGACTCTCTTGAGGCTAAATTTAGGGCTCAAGACTACATCACCTACTAGTGTCACCTTCACCTTATATCTATTAGGCAGTGTGCGAAAAGGGTAAACTAGGGTCTTAATATTAGTTAAAATGGATTTGTTATGTGTCATGTGATTTGTGGCCCCGGAATCAAGTATCCAAGAGTCAGCACTTGGCTTAAAATATTCATATGAACGATCGCTAGAGTTAAGAGAGGTAGAACAAGCTGAAATACCTGCAAAGTTTACTGCTCATGCCTTCATGCCAGAATTGTCTTCTGCATTTCCAGTCGTAAAAATTTCTAGGATGCTGATGAGCTAATTGTATGTTCTTTGGTAAGATTCGGCATCATTCGCCCCTCTTCTTGAGTCTGTAGCCTTTCCCCATCTCCTATATCAGTATCCTTATCACCATAATCTCTAAACACATTGGCAGCCACTCGTTTTCCCTTATTGAACTTGGATTCTTGCGGATAACCATGAAGCTTGTGGCACCTATCCTTGGTGTGCCCTGGCCTCTTGCAGTAATCACAAACTGGTTGAGGCCTGTTTGTGGAGTAATTTCCCTTGAAACTATTGCTCCCAGTGCCACTCGACTGGTTGTAGTTTGTGTAGGAACTCCCTCCGGGTCCATTTCCTTGTTGACCATAACTAGTTCTGAAGTTGTTATTTCCCGTCATGTTCACACTCAAAGAAGTGGAGTCAATGATCAATTGATTACTTGGCTTCCCCTCCTTTTGCTTCTCCTCCTGGATGAGAATGGCAAATGCTTGTGCCAAGGACGGCAAGGGATTCATCATCAGGATGTTTCCCCTCACAACAATGTACACCTCATTTAAGCCCATTAAAAATTGAATTAACCTCCTGTCCTGCTCAGCTTTCTGCATATTTGCCTTGGCACCACAAGTACAATGGCACTTGCATTGAGCATGTGCATTCAAGGTGTTCAGTTCTTCCCACAACTTCTTCATCTTAGTGTAGTACCCTGTAATGTCGAGTGCTCCTTGACTCAAATCAATGATTTCTTTTTGAAATTGATGTAGTTTTGCCCCATTGGCTTGATCATATCTATCCTCCAACTCCTGCCAAAGCTCCTTGGGATCGTGTACATACTGTAGACTGTCTGCCAGATCCTTTGAGAGAGAATTCAAAATCCACGAGGTCACTACATTATCGCACTGTTCCCATTGATCAAAAGTGGGATCCTTTGGGTCTGGTTTCCCACACTTCCCATTTATGAAGCCTACTTTGTTCTTCACAGAAAGAGCCTAAGTACTCCTCGCCTTCATGACTTGTACCCCAATCCATCAAAAGGCACTGGCACAAGCATGGAACCTGCATTTTCGGATGGATGCATGTAAAGCGGGTTGGTTGAATCGAGTAGCGGATTAGGAGAATCCAATGTGCTTTCTTCAATTGCCATGACTCTAGTCGATATATATGCGCAGAGTACTCTTAATCACCCGATTTATGTACCGATCCTAAATTTGGGACTGACCTCGAACCTCAAAATGAAATAATATCGAACTTTGATTTTTCTGGACCAAAAATGAAATCAAGCTAGAGATTAGAACCTCTACTTCGATACCATGACAAATCCTCAGGTGAACGAGATGAAATCGAGCTCAGATAATCTCCAATGGTAGATGAATAGAGACCTAGCTAAGAAAGAGAAAAAATGAGAAAAGAAGCTTTGAGAGATCTGTGAAACATAATTGGGAAAAATGAATTGAATATTTCACTGTACAAAATGTCTAAACACCTTACTTATACACGTGACTCACACACTTGACAGCTGGCAAACGTTGTCCACTAATTAATAACCATATTAACAAACTAACAAAGCTAAGCTATATAAGTAAGCTAATTGGTAAAGTAAAGGATAAATACACGTGTGCACAAAGTATAAGTGTATAACCAGTCTCAATAGAGATTTAGGGCCGTGACAAGTTTATTTTATAAGGTCTAAAAGTTACTCAATGTAACGAAATTATTTTCGTAAATCAACACTTTATTTAGGAAATACAAAGAGCCAAAATAGGACCTTATGTTTGGATATTAACTCAAAATCGTCCCTCAATATAAGTTGGAACGCTAATAGTCATCTAGGTATTCAATATCAATGCACAAGTAGACCTGTCTAACGATCTTTAACCAATAAAAACGGAAGAAGACACAATTTAAATTATTATGTTTCTCAAACATAAATAAAGCTATGTTTTTTTGATATTTCAGCTTGCCTTTGAAGAGGAGGAGAATAGGTATAATGTGATTTTATCGATCACTTTAAATTTATTTGATAAAATTAAGTAAATAAATAATATTCGAAAATATTATTGATAAATTTAAATATAAAAATAATTTGAGAAATCATACAGGATAGAGTTAAGTTAAATTTCAAGAGTAATACAAAATTATATTCATTATATTATATTAAATTGATAATTTATTAAAAAATTATATATCGATTTAATAATATTAAGTAATCATTTATACAATTAGATAAGCAAGGAACAAAAAAAGAAATAAAATATAAAGAAAATATAAAAATATAAGACTTATAATTAAAATTACAATGAGAAAAGTCGTACATATACACATAACTAAAATCATAATAAACAAATAGTCATAAAGGAATAATACTAAAAAAAAATATCAAGTGATAGCGTAAACATATATATGCTAATTAAATTGCTCATGTAGGAAATTTTAATTAATAACTAGAACTCATAATTTCATAATGAAAATACAAAAAATATAAAGATACTATTAGGATATTATACATAAGATAAGAATATATAATATAAACTAATAATTATTAAAAGTATTGGTAGGTTTTTATAAAACTAATAAAAGGCTTATCTCTTTATACTTTTGATGAATTCAAAAATAAAATTTAGTAATAAAATAATACATTATTTAAATTTTCAACAAAATACAAAATGAGAAAACTAATCAAATATTATTGTAGACAATAAATTACGTCGAGAAAATAAAATCAAGACTGAAAAATATTGCAATAATCGTAGTATTTTATTTCAAATAATATGAGTGTACAATCTCTATGGATCATCTGATTCTTCTTTCCAATAGTAAATAAATTCAAGAGCCTCTAAGCATGTTTGTTTCCACGAATGATGTTCTTGGATTCAACTAACACGAACTTTGATTTGAACTCGTATTTCTTGAACCTTGATGTGTTCTTCGTTCTTGAGCTTGTACTTGATTTTTTCTTCGTTCTTGAGCTTAAACTTGATTTCTTGAACTTGAGCTTGATTGTTTGAAGCTTGAAACTTATGGAGGAATTTGCAGTGTTTGATCCACGAGCTCTTTCTTGCTTTTTGTTATAACTTCTGGTGTCTTTTCTGAGTNCCAGAATACTTTTACCTTTGAAGTACTTCCAGCGAATCTGAATTCGTTACCATCACTTTCCAGATATTGATACATAGGATCCCATAAGCAACATAAAAATACCACGAGTCTTGACCTTTCCCAATGAAAACACAGTCTCTAACCACATACACAACCTTAAGGCACCTGATTATCATATGCAAAATCTCGAACAAAACAAAACCATTCTCGAGAGTCATTTACTTCATATTCGAACTGCAATTTGCCTGATCAAACGGACATGACTGTCCGTGCCTCATTAGCACTCTGACACCGCGGGGATGATCTCATTTCCAGTACAAACAAACATCTTCCTTCTCTATACACTGAGCGTCCTTTATCAACAACAACTCAAGACGTCCTATTATTTTCTCACATATACGAAGCACCATATAACCTTTGTCATAATTTTGCTTCACTCGTGCCATCCTCGGCTCAATTCCTGCAACTAGAACTGATTCGCCAACATACCTTGAGACGTAACCAACATAGCACATAGCCGCGCCATCGGCTAATCAACGGCTACCTCCCCAACTTGGCTCGAAGCCATATATCAAGACACCCTTAACAACTCATAACACTTTTACTCTAATGATGCCACAATGCCACAGTGATATTAAACTCAAATCATGTACAAGTTTGTGAAAACACGGATCATCTAGTACTGTAATCCTCTACAAATCTCATGTTCATCCCCACATCAGTTGAGTCCACCCTCTAGAGCGACTCGAATTTTATCAAATTTCAACACATACCCTTCAATTACACATGAGATCTTCTAACAATACACATAAGAATCATACCATTCAAGAACACTCCGCAGGAGATAACCCACCTGCTTCGCCTCAATTTGGTATTTCAGCACACCTCCCACCTTCATACTCATAACACAGCCAATTTAGTCTTCCTGAGTCTAAACTCATACCGCCACATGTATTGCACTTTACTTTCCAACTAGAAGATACAAAAATATCCTTAACGCGCCCATGATTCGGGCCACACAACAAATCACAATAGGAATCGAACACTTATCAGTTCATCTATTATCCAGCAGACTCCTTCGTCACTACCAAGATCACATAGATGCATCTCGCAGTTCTAACATACTCATCACATGGATATCCAACCGCCATTCCGGCTAATAAGGACAATACTGAACGTATAAGTTCAAAACACCTGCTCACACAATCAGCACCTCGGTGCTCAGGCCATAGGCAAAGATCCGGCTTCAAGTCCTCCAGACTGGCCCAACATACTCACAAAGATTACCTCTCGCCCCTCGATCGGGGAATCATAAACCATCAAGGCACATATAATACCAAGCGCTCAGGTGCGCATATAGACGTGAGGAAAGAATTTCAAGAGTTATATCTCAAGCTGAATCAAGTACGTACGATAAGAATTCCAAGAAAGTGAAGTTTTCCTAAAGGTTCTGCAGCCTCTCGAGGATAAATACGGACGTCTCCGTACCGATCCGCGAGACTCTACTAAACCTGCTCATGACTCGTGAGACCTACTAACCTAGGCTCAGATACCAACTTGTCACGACCCAATTCCCATACCCGGTCGTGATGGCGCCTCTCGTGAAGACAAGGCCAGCCAACTAACCCAAAACCTTTCACTAACAATTATTAAACGTGACTGGATAGAAGATACAACTTAATGGCATTAGAAACTGTTAATTACTACCCGACCAGGGTGTCACAAGTCACGAGCATCTAGGGAAAAACCTTAACACAACTACAGGCCAATAAATATATACAAGTGAAATTTCTGGAAAACAAAAGACAACATCCGGTGCCGCGAACGCTAGCGGTCACCTTGCTCAGCTACAATAAGAATACCTTCAATCCGCTAATAACCCGCTACCGGGTGAACGATACCTGCAACTGCACGCGAGGTGCAGGGAGTAAAGTGAGTACTTCCAACTCAGTGAGTAATAGAAGTAAATAATAACTGAGCAGCAAGAAATCACGTAAAGCAACCAACGGGCTGTACAGAAGCCGGGTACAATTTCCGAGAAAACAGTGAAATCAGAGAACTTCTTAAAAATGTTTCGGCTCAGTTCAAATCTCTTTAGAAAATGGTCATTTCAATAATTACGAAAGCTGTTCAAAATAGTTAGTGCTGATTAGCATAGAAAATCCGCCCCTCGGGCCCAAATACCACAGCATAGCAGGTAAAAATGCAAATAAGTATGCAAGATGAACACATAAAAGTTCGCCCCTCGGGCATGAATTTCGTTATTAGTCAGTCATTATTACCTGACCGGTCAGCCATTGTTACCTGACCCAACGCGTATTTCAGTGCCATTGTTATCACTGGTCAGCCATTGCTACCTGACTGGTCAGCCATTGTTACCTGACCAAAACACGTATGACAGTGTCATTGTTACCACTGTCCAATTCTAAATGGGTACCCGCGCTCACTGTGGCTGTGCAGACTCCGGAGGGGCTCCTACAGCCCAAGCGCTATATCATCATAAGGCCTGAAAGCATGTACATGTCAACATGAGGCCTGAAAGCCTTCTCACATTACACTCGAGGCCTGAAAGCCTCCTCACAATACACTCAGCATATCCTCACATATGGCCCTCGGCCTCAATCAGTCAAAAAATAATCATAAGCCCCTCGGGCATTAGTTAAGAAACAATAATTCTCAGCTCAAACAGTAGTTCAAATATCAGTTAAAACTCAAAGTTGAGTAAAAATATAGCTGAGTTCATAAAACAGTGTAATGACATTGGACTGAGTTCAATTAATATTTCAAATAGTGAGGAAAAACAGTGATGATAGCTCATAGGGAGTTCAAACAGTCGGCAATAAGCCCCAAATATGGCAATAAGCCCAAGTCATAGTGAAAAACAACAAGTCATAGCGAAATACGCGGTAAAATCAACAACCGGGACGGACCAAGTCACAATCCCCAACGGTGCTCTACCCCACGCTCTCTATTCGGCGTGCAAGTCACCTCAATATAGCACTATGGGTGCAAATCCGGGGTTTCAAACCCTCAGGATATCATTTACAATCA